CCCCCCCCAAACCCCTCTCCACAAGTCCCAGGGGGTTAAAACCAGGCTGTGTCCACAGTGTGATGGACATGCACTCGGGTGGCATCATTTGGAGGGGTCAGTCTCTCACGTGTGGCTTTCAGCCCCAGAGGCTTCCCACACACAGCAACAATTTGCTGTCATAAAAGGATCAAATCACGCTTTTCTTACTGTTGAATGCTCTCCCCATCAACCCATACCCGGAGAACTGACGCACAGGTGGGCACAGGAGGAGCCCAGGGATTTTTCTGTTAACGAGGCTGGGGCATGAGGGCCATTGTTAAAGACGATGGTTGACAGACATTCCCACATTTCCCATTCCCAGCCCATTTTCCTCATAACCAAGGGTCCAAAAGGGGGTTTCAGTGAGCGTCACTGCTTTTGAATGTTTTATTAGAGACTGAAGCCAGTACAGGATATTGAGCATTTCAGCAGCAGAGCAATACAGTGCGTGGTTGGCAGGGTTTAATATGTATCTGATTGTATTTCCAATTACAAGAAATGCACTGAAGCCAGTCCTGAGGCAGGCCAGAGAGCTCCAAGCACCACAAATCTGGGCCATTTAGCTGCTATGAATTCTTCCTCTCTTCCCTCATGATTCATCTCGAGAGCATTTAAGTCCTTGTAAAAATGCATTGCCAATTAAAATGTGAGTGGCTCTGAAGGATTGGACAAATTGAGAAGTATCTTTTGCAGCAGGGTGGATTTGAGCATCCTTTTGTTTTGGTCTCATCAAGCAAAATCCTGCATGAGCCCATGGAAATGAAAACTCCTGCTGAAAACTTGCTTCAAAGTCTGTGGCATCCTTCCTTAAATGAAAGTGAAGTCTGGATTGGGGCTGAGGTCTCGGAGCTCCACTTCAATGCTGTGCTGTGTGAGATGCAGCATCCCAAAGCAAGGCAAGCAAAACCCTTTTGGGAGAGGCTGAGCCCAAACAGGGGCTCGACTGCAAATCGTTGGTACCTGATGTTAGAGCCACGGGGGCCACAGACACAGGAAACCTGCTGTCTCATGGGATCACTGTGTGATTGGAAGAGACCTTAAAGATCATCTGATTCCAACACCCCTGCCGTGGGCAGGGACACCTCTCACCTTGTCCCCTGTCCGTGCTCAGGCAGCAGCACTGCCCTGCCTGTTACCTCCACCCCGGCACAGCCACCGAGACAGAAGCTGCAAATCCATCCTGTGTGCACAGGCCTGGCTCTGATCCCCCTGAAGCCTCTACAAGCTTCAGGCGGTGGCTCCCAGCAGCTTCAAACAAGCGCATTAATCTGTGACAGCCTCCCCTGGCAGAGCGCGGGGGGCGCAGCAGGGGCGGCCCAGACAGACTTTTATGGCCACAAAGGCCACGTCGCACCTGCTGGCGGTTGTGAATAGACTTGCAGACAGCACCAGGTGTGCCATTGCAACAGATTGCACAACTGGGTGTGCCTTTCATCTATGTATAGAGCCCCGGCGAGGGGATGGAGCGTGCCCGGCAATTGTCCTAATTTAGCAAAAATGCGATTTGTCCAGCGGGCCGCCCTGCGCGGCCGGCACGTGTATTTCAGGAGCAATTATCTCGCTTGCCCTTGGCCTGGCCCCGGCCCTGGCCCTGCGGGGAGCCAGCTTTCATGGCCGGCGGGATGGAGGGATGGTAATGATGGATAACGAGAGGGGGAAAGGCAAGCGGTGCCTGCCGGGGAGCGCATCCCCGCGCCCAGGGAATCCCGCACCCCGCCGACCCCACCCGGCAATTCAGCTCGCTTGTTTACAGTGACAGCCTTTTGGGAAAGGCGTTTTAGTCATATCTCTGCTGCTGAGAGCTGGAGGAGCTCAGGGCTTGCGGACACTTTACAAATACGGTCACGAAGAGCAATAACACGCGAGCTCCCTGGACTCGCCTTCTCTTCTGCCGCCCAATAGCGAGCCCGACAGCGACACTGCATCGAAGATTTTATCATTCCAGGCTTCCTTAGAGGTCTGAATCACAACTTCAGGTCCATTAGGTTATTTCTACATCTCAAAGTCACATCGTAAAGACAGAGGAGATTCTAAGACTTGTGTTATAAATGTGGACTGATCAATTGTACCCAATAAAAGATGCTGATCTCATGGGGATGGTGGGATGAGATCAGCTCAGCTCTGCAGGCTGCAGCCAGTGTTCATTAGCAGCAAATGGGGACCCAGCTTTATGCTCACTGTCCACTCTCCATGGATGTATGTGTGGTGGCATGTCCAAAGGATGCATCTAAAATGCAGATGTGACTGCGAGATTCTGTTAGAAGAACTTTCACCCTGCCTGGCTTGGCCAATGTATATTGGATTTGTTCTAATTAGGATCTTTGAAATGAGCCTTGATGAGTGAAGTAACATCTGAATTGTTCTGGTTTTATTTTTATAAATATGAATCATTTACTGTGTTGAAAAAAAAACCCAAACCAACAAGGTCAAGCCCTTTATCCCACATTTTCACATTTTCAAACCTTCATAATTGCTTATAAAATCTCCCACCAAAATTAACATGGAAAAAGTAAGAGGTTGAAGACACATTTACATTAAATATTGCAGATTTAAACTCCAGAACTCCTGCTGCTTTATGCACAGCATTCAGTATATTGCTGTTTCAGTGGAAAATTCCCAAACTGTGGAAGAAAATGAGAATAATCCTGTGACTGTTTTGTGTGTTTGAGAATTGCACATTGTAGGGAGGGTGAGGCAGAGCACAGGGATGGAGTATAGCATCCCTTGGGGTGTAAAGGCTTCAGAGTCACTGCAGTCGTGTACCCCTGGGGAGGAGCAGACTGGGAGGTGGGGACAATGCTTCTTGTCTGGCTGCCTGAGAAGCGCTGAGGGAATGCCCAGCTCATGGCACTGCCCTCCAGCACCACTATCCATGAGAGTCATCTGCCAAAAAACACTCTGAAGCCTCTAGGTTGTGTTGATGAGGTCACCTCGGAGCAAGCAGAGCACTGATGCCACCCTGCCACCCCTGTGGTTTCCCTCCCCACACCTCCTCCACGCTGTCACATGTCCCTCTCTTCCACGCTGACCTCCAGCTCTCACCCCACCCCTGGGAAGCCTCTGCTGCTGCTCTGGTGGTGGTGGCTCCTCGGTGTCACCCTTCATGGCCCCAGCAGACACCTCCTGCAAGTTCCCCCATGCTGGTGGGTGATGGGGAACAGCCTCCTGCTGACCAGCAGCAGGAGCTGGGGTCAGGTTTGGCAAGCCTGCCACTGCCCCTGGGGAGGTTTGGTATGCTAAGAGTCACAGTGCCTTGGAGGGGGCAAAAGATTTTATTTTTCCCAATTTCTACTTTATACAGAAAAAAGGCTTTTGACATGTATGCATACACATTTATTAGTTTTACACTAACCAGATAATAAGCTGCTCTGTGACCAGTAATTCTGAATCAAATAGAAACTTTGGTAACTACAGCCCGGAATAAAAGACATTATTTATTCTATGGACTGTAGTAGTTCATAAAGGCCTCAGCAGCTATCAGGACACACTGTGCTAGACAGAGCAGCAGAGACCCCACCTTGAAACACCTTCCAATGTAAATACATCAGACAGACAGAATTTATTTGCTTCTCACAATAACTCACCCCTTGACTCACTATGGACCAGGCCCAGCTCAACACAGCTGTGTCTGAAACTTTCACAAAAAGTCTGACTCCACTGAGAGAGGCTGTTCCTTCTTCAGTGGCTTTCCAAGGACCTTTCCTCCCTATCAGGAGAAGAACCAGCAAGCAGCAATTCTAAAAGCTTTTTTTTAAAAAAACTTTTTTACTTATACACCTATTGAGATATGTAGTGATTCAAAATCAGCCACTGGACCCCATCAGACACCTCTGCTGCATTTATTTCAGCTGTTAAGTTTGCATATTTGCAGTCCTCTTCTAAACACACTTAGCACCTCAATACTCCTGGAGGCATGTTGATTAAGTCAGTGAATAACATAACCCAGTGCATAATTAAATTGCCAGACTTGATTCTCTTTCATTCATGCTCTTAACAGTTTCACATGACAAACAGTTCACATCCAAACTCCACTGATAGAACAAGTGCTATATGTTCTAATTAGACCACTTTATTAAATCAAATTGTGTTCCTCAGTACATCTGTGCAGGTGGCACAGGCTTCCATGTAAACTACACAAATCATGATAAAATCACAATAAAGCACTTCCCATCATTAGATTCCAAGAAGTGTTATCTGAGAGGTAAGTCCCATTCCTCCCATTTGGGTCACAAGGAAATTGAGACCACAGAAAACCTCAGAGAAATTACTTGTGTTAGTTACCTCATAGTCAAATTAAAATAATTTGGCCTCTCTGGTCCTGCTCTAGAGGACAAAGTTTGATCTAATTTATCAAGTATTGCCCATAAAGCAAACAAAGAAGCATGTGTTCCAGCAGAAGCCCCCATCCTTCACCCCTCCATCACCATCACTGCTGCCCAGCATTGTGATGGGAACAAACAGGAGCACATAATCTTACAGCTGCTCCATTGTCACAGTGACACATTAGCAGAAGGATTTACAGACCTGTTTGCTTATGAAATAAAGGTTTGCAGGCTCAGAAATGCAAACGTCTCCTCTGCACAGGAGTCACACACCGCAGAGAAAGCTGCTCCCTGAACACTGTGCTGAACTCAGGAACATTGTTAAGGTACCTGTGACTATTAAGGTTTGCTGCTTTCTTCATCAAAAATATCAAAACCAACAATGAATACAATTAACCAGTATGTACAGACATGGTGAGAGGCTCCTGAGGCAGCTGTGCTGAGAGCTTGGACAGCTCTTCAAAACAGTGCTGTGAAAAAGGAGAACTGGACACATAACCTTTGCACAAAAATCCACATTTGTCTCTCCAAGTCAAATCCTGGCCCCAGCGATGCCAGTAAGTATTTTACTAATAATGGAAATTTTGTTTAGATTTTAATTTGGATTTTACTTCCAAATTTATTTAAAGAAAGATTTGTCTTGTGAGAAGTTTAGTTGATTGAGGCAGGCAGATTTTCAGCTTTCTGCATGCACAGCACCAGCAGAAAAGCTTTCCTTAAAATCATGCTGCTTTACTTTTTGGGTAGTTTAGGTGCTATGTTGTTGTGGAACCACATGAAGCTGAAGATGACGCCCATTGTCTTCGGGAAAGTCTCATCATAAGCAAACTTCATGGATTCTCCTAAAGGTATTTCCACAACTTCAATCAGCTCTCCTTCTTCAGGCTGGCCACCTCCTCCACTGCTTCTCATCTGGTCGTTTACTTCTGCATAAAACAATGTCTGCCTAGAACCCGTCACACCAACTCCAGACCTGGAAAAAAGCAGAGAGGAAACTCTGTTTTACACAGAAGGAAAGCAGCAAGGAGCTAGGAATGGAAACCTGGGTCTTTAGAGTGTGAGACAGAAATTGATTGAGACAGAATTACTGAGACAGAAATCAATTACAACTTTCACACAGAAATACCAACAGTTTTGAACGCAGTGCCATATAAAATAGATCCATCTTCAAATATATTCTGGGGGAAAATGTGAATTTGGGAGAAAATGAAAAAAGAAAAAAGATTTTATATTGGTGAACTGTTGTTCTACACAAACTGATGTCAATAGAAGTCCTTCCAGCTGACCTCAGGGAGAGCTGAACTGCAGGATGACTCACAGAGATGCACAAACAAGAGGAAGAAGCTCACATCTGTGTATCTGTGTGCTGTCGTGCTACATTTGTTTGCTTGTTTTTACACAAATATTTAGATTTTTTACTCTTAAGAGGATTATGTCCATTCACAGCTGGAGTCCTCCACTCATGGACTGGATAGGTAAAGAAGGGAAAGGCAGTCTGAGACTCTCTCTCTATCCTTCCTGAACTTTAGCCTTGACCCAAATGGACCACTGTAAGCACGCACATGTCCAAAGTAATTCAGTCTCCCTGCTAAATTTGCTTCAGTGGATTTAGTTGAGGATATTTTAGATTATGTAGTCTTTCTTCAGCTAGACCGCTTGCTGTGTATTATACTTCTTATTTGTTAATCCTCTATTTCCTTAGGACTATTTAATTTAGGTATTATTAAATGAGGGATAAGTACATAATCCACTCATTTAGTCCTTCCAAGAAAATATTCACATTGTAATCACAATTTCTTCATTTCACATGATTACAAGAGACTTTTCACATTAAATCTGGATTCAAAGTTCACTGAAACTATGAATGAGGCATTAGGGCAAGATGAAAAATTAGCTTCCATATTATTACCCATACAGAGGATTCTCAGATTTGTAGTAGTGTTATGATCTTAGAGTGTATATCCAGATTTACCCAACCATTAGTCAACTAAATCTTTCAGTTAATCCAGCACACATCACACCCCATAGCAGGAATTAATCATTTGTCTCTCAGTTTTCTGAGAACACTGGCAATTATTTTGTTTGGGGAATTAATAGTGACTATTGAAGTTGGTTTCTAATTGTGGCTATTGAATTTGTTTCCTTACATCAATATATACTTTTTAAAAATACTGAATAGGGAGTGGACCAGTGAATTCTTTTCCTAAAATTGCTTCTGATGCATTCTGTGACTTTGGGCAAGATGTGTCACCTCTTCAGGATCATTCCTGTACATCTATGAAAAGAAACTTAACCATCTTTGGCATTTTCGGAAACTCTGAAAGTTGATATTGGACCTCTTTCATTCTGTGCTCATCACTTTATTCCAGTGTTAGGACTGGGGATTTTGATCCACGTTTTAACCAACTGTAAAATCTGCAAGCCAAAGAATGCAGTTTGCTGGTCACCACAGGTTCCACAAAAAACACAGGACTGTGTACAATATATTTAATGTCCTGTCAAGCCTGACACCTTCCTCTAGGGTGCCCCACCTGGAGAATGAAAATGATCCTAACCTGAGCATTTCCATGTCCACTTGATATTACATAAAGGTTATATACAAAACCAGCAAATTTATTTAAGAAGTACTTCTATAAGAACATTCTGGCTTGATTATTTACAGCATAATCTCCTTCTGTAGCACCTGTGACCATTTCCTTATGAAACAGTTACAGCTGTGGAAATAATTCCCTTTCCACACATCTTTTCTATAAAGTAAAGAAAACCAATTTCCAAGGTGCTACACTGTAAGACTCGGGTTCTGCCACCACAGCTCAATAGCAGGGGGTGATTTCCATATGGTGTAATTTCTTTGTACTTATTCATATGTTACTGTCTTGTTATGAACTAAATATATCAAGAGTAGCTACTACACTTAATATACTTGGAAAGATGAAAGTCCTGGACATCAAGGTCTTTCCTTTGTTATGATGCCCAAAGTTATGGTATTTCTTCACATCTACTGGCATATAATTAACCACAGAAATGAACAAAAATCTGTAGTAATAGATATTCAAAAGAGGACATACTCACATGATCATTCTCTCTTACTTGATTATCTAACTGACTCTGGTGCAACTTTGCCATAAGATATTAGTTACTGTTATTTATAAACACATTCACTGCTTTAATTTGTTGTCTGATCATCCTCAAGGGAGGTGGCAGTCCCTCCCAGTTTGATGATACTAATCTGGGAGGAGTTGTTGACTCCTTCAAGGGTGGAGAGGCCCTGCAGAGAGACCTCAACGAATTAAGAGATGGGCAATCAGCAACCATATGGAGTTTAACAAGGGCGAGTGCCGGATTCTGTCTTCAACATCCATCCTCACAAGGTGCAGCAGAGGGACAGTCATCTCTTCACTCCTGTGGCCAGCAACAGGAGCCAGGGAAACAGCATGAAGCTGTGTCAGGAGAAGTTTAGATGGATATTAGAAAAAAGGTTCCTTGCCCAGAGGGTGTTTGGGCACTGGAACAGCTCCCCAGGACAGTGGTCACAGGCCCAAGCCTGACAGAACTCAGGAAGCCTTTGGACAACGCTCTCAGGCACAGGGTGTGACCCTTGGAGTGTCCTGTGCAGGGTCAGGAGTTGTACTCGGTGATCCTTCTGGGTCCCTTCCAACTCAGTATATTCCATTAATCTCTGATTCTAAAAGACCATTTCAATGGTTTCAGAAAGAAGTTGAAAGATATAGAAATATACTTTAGTTCTTAAAGGAGGCAAATATTGTACCTTTTTCCAATGGGTATTTCATTCTCTAAATGCTGTGGCTTGCACAACTACCAATTGATCATTTTTGCATAGATCCATATGGACTGCCCTTTACTAAATTAAATATTCTCCAGTATTGCTTACTGCTGTCTCTCACGACATTTGCAGACTGCTAATGTATCCTGCTTGTCCTTAGAAAATTGCACCAAAATCAATGCTATTCACATTTTGTCTGTCTTAGTACCTTCGGCTTTTATAGAAATCAGAAGTTAGGTTTGTTGCTTTGAAGCTTTTCTGATTGAAGTAATAAGGTGCTTTTCCATATAACCTTGCAAAACATTTACATTTCATATTTCATACATACATTACAGTGATTTTGGGCACTGCAGCAGAGGAGGAAGAGAGCAGAGAAGGAGAAGGTGGGTCTGACTGGTGAATAGGCTACAGAAAACTCTATGTTTGCAGTGTGCTATCAGGTTTACCTGTCACTAGGGATTTCCTCTGCTTTTGCACAATTACTTGCACTTTCTGAGTATGCTGTTTAAGGAATTTTGATGTGCCTTTAATCATCTTTATACTCTTTCCGCTACTGTCTTCTTCTAACCCACATCTGTGACATATGCTTTTCCTTATCCCAGTATTTCCCACTACAAATAAAACACTTTTGCCATGGTGTGAAATGAGTCACCTATTAACAGATTACAGCTATATTCATTAGCTTTGCATCTGTGGAAATCACAGGGGTCAGCACACCCGAAGTGCAAGTGATGAGTTTCAGCCTGGGAAAGCCACCTTCCTGATAAAGGTGCCTTCCTGGGACAAGAGAGGCTTGGCTGGGGGGAGGGTGAGCAGGTCTGAACTCAGCACCAGTCCATGCTGAGACTTCAGGTTTTGGTGTCACTCCAGGGTTTAGCACTGTGCTGCCCAAACCTGGCATGTCATGGCTCACACTGACCCAGACCTACTAAGCCTGGCTTGACCTAGCTGACTGTTCTGGCTGTATTCCGATGTGTCTGCACAGGGCTTGAATTATTTGCAACTGTGGGACAAAGGCAAATGGTCTACACAAAACACAGCTCGGTTTTCCTTGCCTTTTTATCGTGAGGATCGGTTTCCTTCAAGGAGTTTATGGTTGTCCCAATTAACAGCTACATGGCTGACAAATACTTCTTCTCAAGTCATTAGGACTTAGGCTCACAAGCCCTGTAATTTCAACAGAGAGATTTTAAACCCCAAAACTCTATTAGCACTAATCTTTCTGCATTGTTTCAGACAGTTAGAAACCTCCATTACCTTTGACAACAGCAAGTCTAGGAATGTAAGCATGTCAAAATAAGGATACCAAAGTCGTATGGTTTTCATCAAAATAGTAACTTCTATATGTTTAACACATCAAAACAAGATTGTGTGCTGCCTTCCCATATTTCAGTTTGAATAAAACACTCAAGGAGTGAGATTAAATCATGCCATGGCTTTTAAAGCCCTGGGCAACACACTTTTAGGCAACGCCACACCAGAGAAGGAGCTTCTGCAGAATGACTGTGAAGCTCTTCTCACCTCCTGCCCAGGTGGCTGTAATTACAGGATTTCCATCTACTTCCTCCTCAGACCAGGGGAAACACAGGAGGCAGATTGTCACTCCAACCTGGCTTTGAAACACTGCAATAGCAGCTACCAAAAGCTTTTGTTTTAACTCTTCCCTTTTATCAAATGCATGAGGAAATACACAGCACATGAAACCCAGCTCACAAAAAGGGAGTTTTCACTTCTTCTAAACTCATGAGCATAAAGATACAGTACATACATTTTTTATCAGAAATGGAAACAGTATCTTATGGCTTAAAAAAAAGGTTTAGTAGTGTCTGAAGCCACAAGTGAGATTGAGTTTGCCAACAGTCAGTGAGTTTTTTCTTCACAATGAGCATGCACACACGTGTGCATGTCCACACATTACGCTGGTAATCAGGGCAAAATTCAAAGCTTCTGTTTCAGATTAGCTTTGCCTTTTTCTCATGTCTGGGTGCTTGCCTATGCCAACTAATTATCTCATTCATAATTATCATGTTTGTAAATATTATATTTTTAATCTGAAGAAAAAAGCATGTATGATAATATAAACAGTATTTTATACTCTACTCCTCTGCTGCAACATGAGGAACAAATAAATTGACTTATCCTTGTGAAGACTTGTTACTTTAGATCAGATTTCTGATAGACAGCAATTA